TTCGCTGCTCTTCTTCATTGCCCTCGTTGACTTCTGGCTCCTGAGCGGCGTCCTCCGCCCACTCATTATGTTCCTGGTTTGTTTTGGGTTCCGGTACCGACGGCTCCTCTGCATGCTGGTTTGGAGGATTTCGTAGCAGGTGGTGGAGGTATACCTTGGCACCTAACAGAACAATCTGCTGTTTCACAGGCTCTGGCTCATCGGCGAATTTTTGTACCAAAATTCGCAGAACATCTGGAGCAATATTCCTCTTGGAATCTACCCCCGCGAATTCTCCAACCAGCCATACTATGGTTGCTCTGGCTTCTGGGCTACTGGACGAACCGAGATGCTTCACAAGCTGGATCACTGTTCGTTCATGAGAAGCCGGGTCTTGTTGAATCAGATGCCTAATCACGGTCAAAGACTCTGATACTAGAGTCTCATCAAGGCTCGTGATCTGACGAAGCAGAACAACCAAGCAATATTTCGCAGCGCTGGGGTCATTCTGCGCGCAACGCCCAAGGGCGCGAACACTCTCACGGACAAGGTCTTCATCCGCACCATTTGAGAAATGTTCCAGCTCGTTAATGATCACACCCTTGATATGCGAACCACAATGTGGGAAAAGAATTGTAAGGACTTCGAGCTTCAGGCGCCATATGTGAGGCGGATCCGAAGCATGCACGAAGAAGTGAGACACGTACTTGGTGAACAACTTTGGGTGTTTCAAGGAGACGACAACAATATTATAAAGTGCAATGTGTTGTATATCCTGGGGACTTCGAAGGAGAGCAACCAAAGGACCGACAGCAGCAGCAAGATACTCGGGTGGCGCAAGATATAGGAAGCAACGGACAACGCTGACGATAACCGCGGAATTGCGGTTGTGTAAAAGCAACCTGCAAGACCGGAATAGAAGCTCCAAATCGGGGTCTATTACGGGCAATTCGTATTCCTCGCCATCACCCTGAGTTTCACCACCTTGTTCATCGTCGTAGAATCCTCTGGAAACTGCGCTCTTCATCTTCTGAGTCTTCTGGGGAAAGCATTTTCGCCCGTAAAACGTCAAAAGACGCAAAGTCGCAAGCTGGCCCCATTCGTCCATATCCACAAGCTTCTTGACCAAGCTCCGATAATTCTTATGAATGAGATCAATCCGATCGGGACAAATCTCGAGAAATGCGGCCACAGCAGGCCCAGCAACAAAGTACTGAGTGTCGCCTAGTAGAGTAGACAAATAGCCGACCAGCTGGGGTAGCGTATTTGGATCAAGGCGATAACATTTTGGTATGGCCAATGCGGCAGCTTTACGGACATGAGGGCTCATGTCACCACAACCACGTTTGATCGCAAGGGAGACAATCTGGCTGATGACGGGCACCCTGATCCCAGACATTGTACGTAAAGCCATTGCTCGCACTTGAGGGTTTTGATCCGTAAGTGATTTTTGGATCGTGTTGATTGACAAAAGCGCAAGGTCTGGCTCGGTCTCCGCATGATGAACCAGGTATATGTATACCAGTTTCTTCACTTCGATATTCGTGTTTGCGACGTTCTTGACGACATATGAGAAGAAAGGAAGGGAAGGCTCGGACGAATACATCAACTAGTGGAGTCACGCAGAGAGACACATAGTCAGTCCAAGTAACAGCTCGATTGGATTGACCAAGACGTACAGCGATCACCTTTCGCATGCCATCCAGGACCTCACGGTCATTGCGACTCTCCAGGAGCTTCTTAATTTGAGAAGCACTGTGGTTGCGCGACACCAAGCCTGTACTCGACCCCCTCGTTAGAGTGGCCGACTGAGCTGCCTCCATGGTTAATTCTCGAGCTGTTCCAGACCGTGATCAGTAATGGAGAGCGGAAGATAACGTCGGCGAGAATGTTACCTGTTTCCAGCATTGAGGAAATCCTGGAGATCGTCTCCATGTTGTAGATGTCAAAATCCGCAGGGCCCTCGCGGGCGCACGCGGAAGGATCAATTTAAGATTTCGATTCGTGAAGCTTGTGGATAGAAGGAGGGGGAAGGTTTCATGAAGATCAGCGGAAGAAGTGCGGGTGACTTGGCTATTAACACCTTAGGCCTGCGGATGATGCAAGCGAGAACGGTCACAGCTCCTCTCCGCCATTCAACATTATCTCAATTCTGTCTCTATCACAAAGGCCGCACGAGGGAAACGAAGAGCTCTAATAGACATGCGTGGATAGGACTTGTTACTAGGGACTCTTGACAATGTTCGAGTCGTTACTTGGGACTACTTGATTACCTTGTGCGTCGCGATGAAGTCAAGCCGTCGCATATATTTCTGTGATCGAGCGACGGATTTCCTGCAACATCTTCTCAATAATGTTGCCGATACTATCGTGCTAGTCATATGCTCAACGAGAGAAACTTTTCTAGAACAACTCCACGATGATGTCTCGAGTCGTGTTCGACACACAGCCGAGAAACACGCGCTACTTACAAAATCTCTTGGGATGCTCTCCAGATCAAGCGGGATCCAGCTTGCTTTCTGCCCGACTCTGGAGCATTTCCGGGCCTTTATCTCCGTGTTATCCTCTCCCGCTCGCTTAGAGGAGATATCGACTAGTGACCATGACAACAGTAAGCGGCCTCTGACGGCTGTGCTGAATCCTATATCACTGCATCTCCCAAGTTCGGAGTTTTCTGCTCAGGGATTATCGCGGACACTCGCAACCGCAGTGGAAGTGTGCAACAGAGAAGCCATGGACTTGGTTCTTTGTGAATGCAGAGGTGCCCCGGAATCTGTTGACATCGAGTGCGGTGAGGCTCTGTGGTATGTAGAAGTACCATTGCTCAATGGCGCTACTCGAAGGGGGGAAGGAGAAGGTATCTGGAGTGGCCGAAGCGTGCCTGTGAGACGGATTGTACAGCGATGGTTCGACTTCGACGACAGCAATCGCACGATCACAGAGCCTCTGGATATCTAGACAACCGAAAATACAACAACCATATAAACGAGCTGAAAACAAACTCCAATAAGAACGTATGGACCTTGATGCCAAAGTATAAGCCTCAACCCACGGGGTATCCTAGAACCAAGCCTTAACTCCTATACCATAAACCCCAGACCTTGCGACTCAAAGACACTTCTCCATTTCGGTAATGTACAGCTTGATATGCGATTCCAGCTTCAAGTATTCCTCATGGGCACTTTGGATCTCGTTTTCAATATTCTCCTTAAGGTCGGCCATCTAGACGACCATTAGCATAAGAGAACCGCATGGTGCCAGGCACGGACTCTTACCTTCTTCTCGGTTTGCTCAATCCTAATTCGTCGTCTCTCCATATCACGCTGCTTCTCTGCTCGCTCTTCACGAAGCTTCTTCTGGACATCACGAAGCTCATCCATCCGGGATTGAGCTATCTCTGCCTTTTCTTGGGCATTCTTTCGCAGGGCTTCAATCCTCTCGTTCCACCGCGCGAGCTGCCGCTGCAGCAGTTTCTCGGTCTGCTCCACTTCTCTGACGTTGTTCCCCCTCTCGGAAATCGCTTCTTTGTTCCTTGACGCTCGCGATTCTTCCTCTTCCTCCTTTTGTAGTTCAACAGATATATCTTCGAGTAGCTTGATACAAGCCTGAACGTCATTTCCAACGACGGTAAATGTGTCAGAAGAGGTCTGCAGTGCTCTTGCTCTTTTCTCCATGGCATCGATTTGAGCCTTCTCTCGAAGCAGGTTCTCAGACAGCTCGGTCAAGGCAGACTGTAGCGATACCGGACTCTGCATCGCATAGGGTCGGAGCTTTTCGACTTCCTGTCTGGTGCGCACGCTCCTCTCTGTCTTCTCTTCCAATTGTGCCTGTCGTCGAGCTTTATCTGCCTTTACCCGCTCAAGAGTCTCGGCAACCCTTTCCTGATTCCGTCGCAATTCCAAAAGCCGCGCTTTTAGCTCGTCGTTTCTTCTGGCCTTTTCCTTAACCTGAGCTTCGTTGGCTTTCAGGCTCCGGCGCATCTCTTCAAGACGTTGCTCCATCTCTTGATTCTCCGTAAACAGCGTATCGATGCGTGCCTTTGTCTTCTCTGTCTTATTAAAATGCTCATCGATGACTTGGGTCTGCGACTCCCGGAATCTGACGAAGTTAATGAGATAGGAGAATATTTTGACCAGTCGATCATGAGTAGGTTTGGTCAGATCAGTGAAAGTGAAGTCGTTGACACCACACTTTTGAATGATAAGAAAAATAAGTTAGTGTTCCTGTCTTTGCGGCCATACACTCGCATTCGACATACCTCCATCATCAGCCTGCGTAGACTGATGAAGAAACCCATGAGATTGCGCGTCTCTAATGGGACAATGTCGGGATAGTCGCCGCATATATCTTCTGCTGCGGCGCGCATTGCTGGCTCTACCGTCTCCTTAGTCGTATTCATCAGAAGCTCTGCGAACCACTCGAACACCATCTGGATCTGCTGAGGATTCGGCTTGATCAAGTCGGCAGCTGTGAACGGAATCCCGATATCGTTGATGCAACCTGCAATTTCCTTATCAGGCTACTAGCACAGTTAGCATCCTGTATGGCCGACGTAAAATTGGTTTATCCTCACCAGGCGCATCAACGCATCATTTTCATCCTCTTTCTTGCGACCGCGATTATGATGTTGCTGGGTGCCATGAAACTGTTGGCTCATTCGATGATTATATGCCATTCTGTCATAAAATTCCCTATAACTTCAGACACTTTAGCAAGCAGACTTGAATTGACGAAACAGATAATGCTGCGAGTTGCTTGCTTGTCGGGCCTTAATGTTGTGATGACTGTTTACTGTAACGCACTCACATGGCAACCAGAAGCGGACTAGGGCCGGTTGTGAGGGGCATATTATGCAAACACAGCAAACACCCACTCCGCGTCTCTTTTGATGACTCTGCAGCTCAGAGGACTGTAGATTTCGTCTAAAGACGCTGCGCAAGTCGAATACGGTTCTGTCTGTGCCGAACCAATTTTATCGGCTGCCAGTAAAAGTAAGCGCTATGGCGACCAGCACATCAGCCATGGCAGATCCATCGAAACCGTTCGAGTAAGCATCTTGCACAAGAGTCGAGATATTCCAATAATTGACCTGGCCGGCAGCATTGTTGCGACATACAATGAACTATTGCGCTCCGATCCAGACCTGACTATGCCCATCGCTGCTATTGAGGCTTTGGTCCTACTGCTCACTCACTCACCCTCGTCCACGATATCAGAGACTCTCGATCTGCTGGAAAAATCCACCGCGCACCTGAAGAAGTCGATCCCTAACCCTATCGGGCTTTCGGCCGGAACCGATCTATTTCAAAGATACCTGATTACGACTCTACAAAGGCCTGGACAGCTCGGACCGGCGGGAGATTTCAACGCCATCAGGGCGCATCTATTGTCCAACGGTCGGTTATTCATTCGGCGAGCAAAGGAAAGTCGAGACAAGATTGCTGCGTTCGGTAGAGGTTTTATTCGGGACGGATGTACGGTTCTTACAAACGGTGGATCGAGAGTCGTCGCTTCGTTGTTGCAGAAGGCAGCCGACGAGAAGGGCGGGCCCTCTGCTGTCCGTTTCCGGGTCATCTACGTCCTTTCGTCGGCCAATGGCGATGTCGAGAACCATCGTGCCGAGCCAGAGGGTATGGAGACAGTACGTACGCTCAGGGCGAAGGGTGTACCTGTGGCCACAATTTCTGAGTCGGCAGTGGCATACTCTCTTGGCAAAGCCGACATGGTGATTGTAGGTGCCGAAGGTGTGGTCGAGAACGGGGGGATTGTCTCGCGGATGGGAACATATCAGATTGGTCTTCTTGCAAAGGCAATGGGAAAACCCTTTTACGTGGTTGCCGAGAGCCACAAGTTTGTCCGATCTTACCCTCTTGGACAGTATGACCTTCCTATCGAGCAACATGTTATCAATTTCAAGACCGAGGAAGATATCGCAGACGAAGCCAAGCAACAGTCGACCGAATCACAAAAAACAACAGAAGTTGAGTCTCTGGAGGCGAGTCCGGGTTCGAAAGGCGGAGGCCGTTCTGATGTGGTCGACTTCACACCGCCGCATCTGATTTCCGCCTTGATCACGGATAGCGGCGTGTTAACGCCGAGCGCGGTCAGCGAAGAACTGATCAAGATATGGTTTTGATTTTGTTTCGTTCTATTACCCATCTTGGAAATGATGATCGTTAGAGGCGCGAGGCGTTCATGCGGCTGGGACGAAAAGTATTTGCAGCGTACAAATCTTCTCATAGAACTCGACTGATCCGCTAGAAAGACCACATGGAACTATTCTGCGCTGTTATTGGCATGTCCCCTGTACGTGTGGTCCGCTGTAATTTGGCCTGTACGTAATCTGAGTATATGACCCCCATGTTGCCTGCATAGATCAACCCGTGAAGGTCGACCGACTACGGCGTAATCCCTAGTAATCTATCAACCTGATACCATACCATAGGCTCAGGAACTTGTACGCCAATACAACGCAGCTGGCCCCATGCTTTGGGAGACCGGACTATGTGGATGGAATTTTTGCAAAGTTCTCGCGAGTTCCGAAACATGGGACCACATATCAGACATACTCCCTGTTAAGGAACAATCATAATCCATCGAGAAAGAACAGAGTAAGATCCCTACGGAACAATAGTCATCAAGGACATCAATTTCTTCCGTAAGCTCATATAGCCATCAAGTCGTATATACATATTCTCATCAACGAGTGTCGAGCGAGTTCGGAGTCACTAACAACATCCTCTCTCCACCACAGGTTCTCAACGGAGTGCTGTAGATGTGGATACTCCCCGACGCCATTCGGATCTTTCTTCGATCTCACTTTGAACGACCGGCAGTGGCATTGTGCCAAGGGTATATCGCCTTGCATTTGCTCGGTTGGATGGCGAAGACCAGTAAAGAGGCTGCTTTGAATAACCAGGGTTTGAACGAGCGTTGCCAGAATTGGCCGTCATGTACTCTTATTCATTATACCTCGTGCGATTCGGCCCGAATCAACCCGTAATGCGGTTGAGTTGCGTCGTCTGTACTTGAAGCGCTTGTAGCGAGGCAAAGGCATAGAGTAGAAGGTAGCCGAACGCTACGAATAGCCACAGGAAAGCCATGGATCAATGTAGTTTATGCAAAGTCAGACGGGAAATCAATGATAAGGCTTGTACATCGAGGTTAGGAGTCGGATCAGACATGGGTGGAACGGGGTTGTCTTCCCACTTATATGCGAGTCACGTACAGCTTTTCCCGATTCGATCTCGCTAGGAATCGAGACCCAAGGGAGCCAGTTGGTAGTACAGGCTGCGATCCGTTTTCTTCGGAACAAAAAGGAGATCCCTGCGGGATTTCGGAGTTGAATAACCAGGTGGGGTTATCGGTTCTTAGAGGTCTTGTGAGAGCAATAATGACGCCTGGGTAACTACTGTGGCTTACTACCTAGGCAGAGAAGGGTGTACATCCACTCGGGTTATAGTACCAACTGTCCACGGTACTTACAGAGTAGGTCGAATTTGGCCAACAGGAAAGATAAAGTTGACTAGGGCTATTCAGGCAAGGCAGATGACAATTGAGAAAGAGGTATTTGGATCAAACGAACATGATGCAATGATCTGCCGCATAGTGGCGCATATGTGTGGTAGACATCTCAGCCTGAGCGAGTGTATCCTCACAGTCAAGCCTCCTCTGATATGCTCTATCTAGTCTCCAAGGGATGCCATGCTTGATCCCATTGAGCGGTGTAAGTAGAAGTCGACAAGAGTGATGCGGTGAAGTAAGAGTATAAGTTGATTGGAAGCAAACACCACCATGGATGGATACCATCGTCTGTTATTGACTGGTTTTTGAACCAGGTCACACTACTGATTGATTTTGCCTTCTCAACCCCATATCAGATCGGGCTCATGCAGTTAGTGCGGGGCTTTTGCCACCAAATCTGGCATTTGTGTCGTCAACTGCCCTAAGTATCGCCGTGAGTAACCATCCTGGCAGATTGTCGAAGCTCAAGGCTTTGCGTTGTTTAGAGAGCAGAGGTCTGAAGATCTCGGACCAATCTCAACGGTTTACTCAATCCTGAGTGCCTCCTGACACCCAAGCCTCGATGTGTCACTTGATTGTCAGAGCCAGCGATGATTTATCCTTCTGTAAGTAGAAACTGTGACAGAGGGTCTATATTGCCCCGCTTAGTGGAGCAAGCACGTGCCCATCAGAGGCCTTTGTCATGCTAGGGCGAAGCATTTTCGGTCTCTTATTGGTTGTGGTATGGATCTTGTCCCTCCATCACCCCCACACTCGCGAGTCGCGACTCGCAAGACTCCGATGTCCCGGCTCGACATTATGGGTTTGCTTCATCGTTGGAAGCTATGATCGAACCGTTCAGAACTTGGATTTGGATTGAAGGATCCTGTTCGCAACAGATTTTAGCTTACACTTGGAGTCTCGAGCACTTGATGATAGAATCATCCTCATCGACTCACTAGGGCACGCACTCGGTGTGGTAAATATCTGTAGCGAGAGTTTGAATGAAATCAGTTAACCTGAGTGTCCTACTGGTGCTTAGCTTTCTGAATATCGTCCGCGGACGCGTCATTTGCAGACGCTTGTCTTAACTGTCCGCATTATAAGGTATTGGCGAGTGACACCTCGTTCTGTTATCTCAAGAGAGCCAAAATAGTCCCAACAGAGCTCACGCAGCTACAGACAAGCTCCGTCAGTCTGCAAGATCTCAAGCCAACGTTTTCAAAAATACTGAAGTCCGACCGTTCACTCGGTGTACATCCTACGGAGCTACTGTCACCTACCCTTGACCGCACGTCCACTAAGTGCAGCCGAGCTTTCCTGACAAACCATGAGCGCCGAGTCATTGACAACCCCGTTCCGACTCCCACAACAAGTGGACTACTCAGAAACAGAACGAGAACGAGAGTCCTCTTCCAAGATTAATCCAACTGGCAGTCGAAAAAACCCCGAGGAACCCTGGTCGATTCGCAAACTTATCAGTCGCCACGTGAGCCGTCGGTATCGTGTTTTGGAACGTGAACCAAATCGACTTAGGAAACGGGCCACCCAGTAGCGCATGCATCGATACTACGAGGTCATAATTGTCTACCTAGTGTTGCCATCTTGGTTGTATATCCTTGTCAATCGAAGCCCAAGTGGTTCTCGGTCATTGAAATCTTCTGAACGGCATTTGAAGTGCCACGTGTGGGGTTGTTGCTGGATTCTTAATTCTGTTTGAGATGCTTAGCGCAGCCGTTATCAGTCAATGTTGTCTCCTGCTGCCAGCGATGTATATGTACCTTATGTTTTGCTGCTAGAGTCATGGTTGTAAGCTTGTCCTGCCTGGGAGGCTCACTTATTTCAAATATTTCGGTACATGCGTCAAGCCGGCCTTGTCGCTGAAGTCAGATCTTTATTCAGATACTTTGATTTCTGGCTCAATCACCGACGGTATTCTAGCTGATGTCAGAAACCTACTGCTGTATGTATATAGACTCTAACAATGCATTCCTGTATCCTGTTGTCTGTTTCCAGACTGTCCAGCATCTCTTTTCACAACATAGACTCTCTTGCGTTCCCCGGCGCGGTGTGACTGGAAAGTTGCAGGACCGCTCGCACACCATTGGAGCACTTACCTTGGTAGGATTCTGCACCAAAACGTGGTCCCTTTCGGCTTTGACTCAACTTTCTCGAGGAATGCAGGTGGCCGGCGTTTTGGGCTGTAGGACGTTTCTCATTTACTGGTAGTCCACATAGGTAGCAAGTGTACTGTCCTTGATAGGCACTATCTGAGACCCAGTTCTTGGAAGACATTAGGTAGGAAATTGGTGCTCCTAGTTAATACCATAACTTTGATACCTTATATCTGCACGGTGGATGGGCTCAGCATGGAGTATGGTACCGTAACTGTCCTCACAGATGGCAGCCATACTGGACCACTTGGCAGTAGCGTGTAGATCCACAAACTCGCGAAATCAACTGAGAAGGAAAGGGATGCCCATCTGAGATCTGGTATTACCATTACCAATCATGAATTTTTGACTTGGCAAAGGACGAACGATAGGTAGACTTCTGTTACCCTAGAGTCTGGAGGCGCAGGACGATTGGAGAACGTGCGTTAATAACCAAGCTTTTCTGAGACTTCCATTCCTTTGAACAGCTGGCACTTCCGACGATGAGGATTCTACGGTCAGATCATGGCTGGATATCTGATTATAAGTCCTGTTGGTAGGTGGAGCGTATCTGAGGGACAAGACTCGGAAATTTTTGCGCAAGAGACAGTAATTGAAATTACTGTCTCTGTATGGTCCCTCGTGACTTCCAAGGAGTGAACACATATCTACGGAGTACATCTCCACTCATTTCATTTGTTTAAGAACCGGGTGCTAGAAGGTGTCTAGACCCGGCGATACACATGCGCTCTGGCCAGCTTCTGAGACATTGCAATCAGTGAGTGAAAGTTCAAGGCTGTGTTCAAATGGCTTGTGGTACCTTTTCGAGGCACTCTGCCAAGAGCATATACTACACGTTAATATGATTTGTTAGAGACACTCGATCTTAATTTTGGCGGATTGTGTGTGACTTTGTGCCTGGAGTTTCGAGCCTCCGGAGCATGAAGGTATTTTCTGTATGTGCCTATAATGAACCAGGGCTGTAAGGGCCCGCCTTGAGCAAGTCCCATTGGGGTACTCCGTATTACGGAATATTAATTTTGAATCTGTCATAAAGTGGAGCTTCTGTCTCCAAGACGGAAGTACACCAGCGCAATTCGAAGACGTGAAGCGAGGTTGAGGTAAACAATAAGTCCTAGTCAAGCCTTTGTAGATTCTCTGCAGCCTGTACTGACCATGGCAATGTACCTTACTTCTCAGCAAGCCCTGCTATTGATTTATGATTATTAGTTGACTTCATTGCGACTTTGATTTATGAGACTGCTCAACTCAATTTCTGCTCCATACTCCGTAGACTGGACTATCTTAAGCCACAAAGTCAAACGTCAATTTCGTGGCTGAAAATTCCCCACTGGCCTGACTCAACACCTATTGTAATTCGCTGCCATGCCATATCTAAACAATAATGTTTACTCCGGCCAAACAACCTTGAGACATCAACAATCCAATAGCCTCCTTGCAGGTGATCTATGGAGAAAGA